AGACGAGTCCTACAGCCATAGTTTCCCCTACAATGCCCCAAGCTTTGCGTCGAGCTACACAACTGCGTTTAATTTGTTCAAGGGTAGGGATTATTCTTCGACATTTCGCGTCAGAAACAATAGAAACACCAAAGTTGGAAATATTCAAGACTTTCGAAGGTTTCGAAGTCGATTCGTTCACCTTCAACTTTATTTAAATTTCTGTGACATTCTCGTATAAAGAGACACTGGGTACGCAATATCTGATCATTGATTCTATTAATTGTTTCGGTGGAAACGTCCTACAAAGTAGCCACCTTGGCCGGAATGGCGAGGGTTGCACGATTGTCGAGAAACACGGATAAATAAATGGTAAATCGGAATTAAATTGTTCGTCACGCGACGACTCGTAGGAAAATTTCGATCGTCGGTGTGCTCGATAGCTCGCGAAGTCGCCGGGTAGTTAGCAATTATAAGCAGAAAAATGCAGATCGCGGGCTTTTTTGAATACCAAATCGCGCGGATATTAATTCGCGTCTTCGACGAGCGAAGCAAACGGAACGAGATCGTAGCTCGGCACTTTCTATCGTGGATAATTAGCCGAATGGCGAACTTTCATGGGGAACCGGGTCTGTCGAAACAACTTCTGCAAAGAATGGTAACGCCGTTCGATTTCATTGTTCCAATGAGCCTCGAACGCGTTGGTATGCCCAGAGTCGAAGAGTCGATTCTTCAAACTCGCGTTGCGAAAAAGTCCGTGCGTATTTTCCATATTAGAACTTTATCAATTTTGGGAAATCACTATCACAGATAATCGTAAGCTGCGTAATTTATTTTCGTTAGCTCGAAGTTCATGAATGTTTAATTCCAAGAAAACAGTCTCCTCGTGCACAATGGAAATCTAATCGAGCATTCGTGAGAGCTTTAATCGTTAACCCTTAAAATCGTAAACGTCGTAACGAATTCCCGCGGTTGGTTTTTTTAACGAGGGGCCAACGGGATCCTCGCACGAAAAGAACGGAATATAGATCCTTGTTCCCGAATAGAAATGTGTTTTTTAAGTCAATTAAGGTTATCGGATGAAAGAAATATTTCTGTTGTCAGCGTATAATTGGTACGGAGGTAGAGCCGAGCATCGAGCATGCCGCAAATAACACGAGCTATGCAAATTTATGTTGAACGAGACGGGTCAAGTGTCACCTGGGTCGCGGGTCGTTAGCCATTTGCATTTCCATTCGATTAAGCAATGGTCATCGCGTCCGACTTGGCTTCGATCGGTCGATATCGAATTTTTCTCTACGAAAAAAGAAGACGGAACGCGCACCTGCGACCCCTCGTCACCCTCGCGATACTTCCATTCGAATATCGCCGAAAACCCTCCTATTACGCGGCTTTGACCTCCAGAAACCGATACCATCGAATATCCGAATTTTTTAGCCACAAAAATTGGTTTTTTTTCTTCAAAGTTTGCTCGCGGGAAACTTCAAATGAAAGTTTGTAGATTTTAATTTTCAGGATTTTCTCTTAATACGATGAAAGGGGTGGTCGAAACATTCTCAAGTCATTGAACTTGGGAAAGTTGAATCGTCAAATTGGCGCGAGTTTTGTAAGATTACCATATTTAAATTTGTTAAAAAATCATGTAGAATTAAAATAAAACCCACGTTTAAATCTAACCCTCAACGTGACGACTTTGGGTAAAAATATGTAAATCTAGCGTTAAATTAAAAATAACAAAATATAGAGGGAGAAAATACTATTGTCAGAATTCGAGCGTAGTTCAGTCTTTCGCCAAAAAATTAGTAAGAAAATGGGGAGACACGATGGGGCCCACGAGCAGGGGGGTCTCTGGGCCTGACAGGAGATAAATCCAGCGACGAAACGGCTGATTCACGGTCCGCGAAATCCGAGGAGAATCGTGCGGATTACGCACGCCTCGGCATTGGTCGATCGTACGCGGCATTCGCAACGAGCCAGCCACAGGCGTCGTTCCTGCAAAAGTTGCTCGATTAGGATTCCGTCCACGTTGGCAGCGTTGCGCCGTGGCACGTGGGTTTTCAATTCGACTCCCCCGGTAGCCGGCGGCGTCGTTGTTTCAACCTTCGACGAGGAGAGACGCTCCTTCCTTCGATTACACGCTCGCCCGGCGTCCGTACTCGCGCCACCATGAATAATTCCGTAACGACGGTGCTACACTTTTCGCCATTCCTTGTAATTTATCCCTCGAATAGTTTCACGATGCTCCAGAATTTTACGCGAATTAGGATCCATCGTCGAGTAAACTCTTCATCGACTCCTCCGTCGATCCTAATCCCAGGTACTCTGGGACCTTCCGCTGTATCAGAGTTTCCGTAAAAGGTACTCCACGGAAGGACGATGTGTTCCTCCTTGCGTAAGGGAACCACGAGACCCGTTGTTACTAACTTGAAACTGACTTGCAACGTGGTCCTTTGTTTTCACACCAGGCAGCGTGTTATATCTTATCAAACTTGCTGCCTTACGGTTCTTCCGTTTACGATAAACAAGAGTTACTTCAGAGAGATTATATTTTTAGAACGAAACCGAGTCTTTCGATATCTACCACGCAGGCTTGAAAAAATTCACGTCGGACAAGCGAGATACGAACGTAGAAATAGTCCTGCGATCCTTCAGGGATGAGGTATTTACGTTGTTTATAATACTTCGGAATTACACGAAGAAAGTGTCGAAGATAGCATCTCCGACCAGGAACAGGTTCTCCGGACACGGGCGCATTAACGATTACAGTTTCTTTTTTTTTTCTTACGTTATTAATTACTCACGATTATGGTTGATTAATTTCAACAAGTTAATACTTCCGGAGTAAGTAAAGCAAGTAATAATTATGTTGCGTCCCGAAGATGACCTATATAATGTCGAGAACATTTATACGCGAAATTTCAATATCAACGACTCTTTCTTTGCATTTAATTATTCGTTTTAAGTTTTGCTCCCGGACCGTGTCCCCTATAATTTCCCTAGGTTGCGTGGTAACGCCGATACTCGATCGATCGAGGATCGCGAGGCGACCGCGGCGTCGAGGAACTTGTTCGCGTACACGGGGACAACATGACTCGATAAAAATCGTGTAGTTTGTCGAGCGCGGCGATATCTGCGCAGCTGAATTTGCATGGCTATAAGCTCTCTTACAACGGCGCGCCGCCCGAAAGTCCATTAAGTATGTATGGCGTGCACGCACGGTAAGTCTCCCGTAACCCATAAGCACCTTTGTCTCTACGCGCACAGCCACACGCGCCTAAGCGCGAACCTGTGGGCCCACGAACACGCGCGAACCGCCTATTTGCATACCACAAACGTACAAAGTATCGATGCATCGCTTTAGACCTCGAAAGCGGCTCTCGAGCGGACGACTCCTGCTCGCCTGCTGCCTCGTCGAGCGCGTTCAACGAATTCCAAACCTGTCTCTCGGCTTGCTACAATGTTTTCTGCTCAAACATATCGTCCTCCTCTTCTCTGGTTCTCGATGTTATCCAAAATTCGTGCGCGAGGCAACCTGTCGTTGATGTACCAGCTATCGAAATTCGTCTACATGTCTCTCAGGTTGCTACCAAGCTTTTCTGCACATATACTAGGTCGTACTCGCTAGTTTTTGGTGTTATACCCAATGTGAACATATGATAGGTGAACTAGTTGACGTACCAGGGATTGAACTTCATCTACATGTCCCTCAAGTTGCTACAATGTTCTTAGTGTTCTCTCCAATCTGAAGTTGCTACAAGGCCTTCTGCACAAATATTAGATAATCCCTACTGTTTGTTGATGTTATACCCAATTTGTATACGAGCAAACTAGTTGATCGTACTTCATTTACCTGTGCCCCGATTGCAACAAGATTCTCTGCCCAAATTAGGTTGTTCCATAAAGAAAACGAGTAATAGTCTCTCCTTTCTAAGAATTCTAAGGATAGTTTTGGATTCTTGCTTCTACACACCCCCTGACCACTCCATATCAACGAACAAACGGTCAGAATTGGTAACCCAGGTTGCCCCAAAAACCCTGACAGACTTGGACGGCGAATCTTCTCCACCCACTCGAGATTAGCCAGGTGTAAGGTGTCCGGAAGTTTTTCTTGAAATCCAACGATTCGTTTGGTGTCTCGATGAATACGATTCGGCGGTAGGTGGTACCTGTCGGCATTCGATGCGAAACGAGGGAGAGACGGAGGAGCTCGGGGCACGGATGGATGTGTGAGAAGGCAGGTTAATGGTGCTTCTCACAAAGCGGCTTGCACGCAGAGAGCACGCGCGGAGAGAACCGAAACGCCTGTGTACGAAGGAGCGTCAGGTGTCGCGGCTAAGGCGGCAGGAGCAGCGAAAGCGAACAGAACCAGGCGAGGGGGGCATGCACACCATCCTAGATAGCATCGTCGTAAAGAGGGGTGCAACTGCCAGGCAGGTGCAGGTGCATCGTCGTTGTAGGTACGCTTGCTCTATGCCGTCAGCACCGCCGCGAACCACGGCTACACCTTATGGCGCCCGCGCGAAATTCTTTCTGCCTTTCCTTCTCCAACCATTTCGTTCCCTTTCCTTCCTCTGGCTCGCTTACTATCCCATCGTTTCGGAGATGCGTCTCAAATTTTCGTCTTTGACAGATTTATTTCCGTAAACTAGACATACAGGAAACGTACGTCAAGGTTTCTAGCCGCGTTTGTACAGTAACTATAGTTAAATGGTTGTACCGATCTATAGACTCAACCAGAACGAAATGAACCAAGAGAAAATGGCTTTGCAATAGTGCTCGGAGTCAAGATCGAGTCCCCTAAGGTACCCTTCTTAGGTGATACGTAAAGTCTCGAAGCCCTAGTGTAGAAGAGCCTCGATACACTATGTATGTATGTATTGCCGCACGAAGTAACACTCATTGGTCTCATAGACGCGTTTAAACAAATCTTATTTAGGAAGGGGGGCTGGTATTTTGTTTACTCAAATTGTAATCGATTTACAGAAAGTATCCTCGAATTAATTCGCGTTCTCGCGTTGCAGATATACCGGCGCAAGTGCCGCCGTTAACGCCTGGGACCAACAAGAAGATGACCGAGGCCCTGGAGGCTTCTTTCGCCTCCTGGGAAAAGGAACGAGTCCGCCTCAACATAACCAAAGGTCAGTAGAATCCAACAACTCTTCTTAAAGCTTAATTATTTCGAAAATATCAAATAAGCAAACGAATTGAAACAACTTTCTATAACATAATTTAGCATCCATTTACTCCGTAATATTTCCCTTTTCTGTATTTCGAGCATCGATAACTCGGCGAGATTATTCACGTTACATTATTTTAATACACGACAGCTAATCGACATCGATTTCGAACCGCCCAACGAATGCAAACCATACGTCGACGCAACATGCAATTAGAACGCAAACTTACGCGACATTTTGCGAGTATTCCGAGACATTCGAACGACAGCAGGATATCCGAAGCTCGCGGATAGCGTTCATTTATGTTTCTTTCATTCGGACAAGTCCACCTTCCACGTCGGTGTACGCGGACGAGTTTTAATTACGCGATTCGATACGCGGGTCCGAGCTTTGATGTTTTCATCGGAGAAACGAGTACATTGATGCGTCGATTCATTAGCTCGGGGGCTTCGCGCGGAACCCGTCCTCGAGAAAACGACGCTATTACCGCGCCGATCGTTTAAGCGCGGCGTTAACGATAGCAATATGTCGATAATCATGTATAACGAGTACTGGCGAACGTTCGATTTCTCCTATTTGGAACTACAAGAGTCGCCGGCCGCCTCGCTTCGAATATTACACGAATCTCGAGGACATCTCGAGATACTGTGTTGGTAAGTCCCACGGGCTTGTAAAGTATCCTCGAGATAAGAGGGAATGACGAAACCGATCTCGAAGCTAATTTTTCTGTACCTCGAACTGTGCAAATTTATTTTCCATACAATTTACCGTCTGGAGAACACATGGTTTCTAAATTAGTCATCGATCAACATATGCAACTCTTGATATGAAACTTTTTTGTATTTCCTAATTGGCTTCTTAAAACTGTCTCGTGAAACCAAGAAAAGACACGTTATTAACCCCTCACCGTACAATGACGAGTTCTCGATGTCGAGTTTCACAATCGAGTCTTACGTACTAAAATCAACATATTTTTACATTCACGAGGTATTCGTAAAACAAATCTATTCTTTCCCGAGGACGTTCCTTGCACGTACAAAGTTAAACAAAGTTAAATAGTCGTTTGAGAAATTACATTAAATCGTAAGTCAAGGGGTTAATGTATGCAAACAAGACTCTTATTCCACAGAGCTGCATTGGTCGTGTTGCGTAATTATAATTACACAAAACCGCGCTGTACGAATTGCATTGCGAGCGTTGGGTTTACATCGAACGGGGGTCCCCCGGAACCGCGTCCATAAATTTGTCACAGCCGAAATGAGATGCAACAACCCCGATCGGAGCCATCGTTCCTCGACGATCGCGCGAAAGGAAAACGGACACGGTGCACCGGGCAAAAGGCGGCTCTGGAACAATACTTGGGCGACTGTAAAAGCGAATCTCCAAGTACAAAAAGAGAGAGAGAGATAAAAAAGCTTCTCGATTCGTTGCGCAGCGTGGCACGGTCGAGCGATCGCGGGTGAAATTTGTCGAAAATCGGCGTCGGAGAGGAGAGCCGGTGCGTGCCGGCGCTGAAAGAGGGAAAAGCGTTGGCTGCGTGCGTGAGTGCGTGAGTAAGCGAACGAACACTGGGTATACGCAATGTGATGCGATGTGCGACGGAGCCGGCGATGTGCAGGAATTGTGAATGTGATGTTGATGGTTCTCTGATGGGGAGCCGATGCCACACATCCGGTATGCGCATTCAGAGCCACGCGGGTGTGACGTTACTTCCGGTCTACATGGCCCCGGGTTCGTACCCTCCGGCCAGATCACCTACAGTCTGACCTCCGTGAACCTAACGAGCAACCTCGCGCCGTTCCACTTCGAGCAGACCGTAGTCGCGATCGTTCCGTTCCTTTCTTTCTATCCCGCTGCTCCTCCTTCCTCATTTAATCTGTTCTTCTATTTTTTTTTTCCTCTCTTTTCGCCCGCTTTATTGTCTCCTCGACCTTTTCGTCCGCCATTGTCTCTCGGCACGACTCCGTTCGTCACGCTGCCATTTTGTCGTTTCGCGAGCCACCGCTTCGACCACCGCCATTCCGCAAACTAATTTCCACTCGCCTTTCCTTCCCAAACTACCCGTTAACGAATTCTTTTTTAATCCATCCGAACCTATGAAAACATTACGGAAATCTAACTTAAAAAATTCCAACGCTGGTTTTGATTTTGAGAGATCGAAAAAAAGAGAAACTTTGTATTCGATAAATCCATAAATAATAGCGAAGTACTGCATTTCTCGTTAATTTTCTTTTTCTGTTTCCAAAGAGATGGTATCGCCTAGTTATTTATGCTTTCTGATCTGATTGCCGATAACCCGTAAACTAGAAAATTCAGTATTTAATTGATAATGACTTTGTGTTAGTAAAACGATTTCCTAGTACAGTATTGCGGAATTAAAAATGTTTTTCCACGGATCGGTGATCGTCGGAGAATATACGCTCCTAGATCACACTGGCGTGCAACGCTTTTAATTATGTTTTTTGAGAATCTTGAGAAAAAGTTTGCGCGATTCCATCATCGGCTGAACAGTTCCACGGTTTAAATCCAACCGTGTACAAACACACCGCGCGATACAAACGAAAAGGAGAATTTTCATATCGATAATCGCTAAATCAACCTTCTACGCGATGCAAAGCTCTTATCGGTGTTTGCGTGGTAGAATGCAAAATGGTATCGTTTGTTTGTCATCGAAACGACGCGACCGTAACCGCGACCAACGCCATGGAAACTTTTCGCGCGCGTAGCTAGTTCCATAAAATATTCTCTATTTATTTTCGTCCGGCGACGACCAAATTTCGGTGATAGATTCGAACAGTTTCGATCCGTGAAAAAAATATTTCCCAAAGATGGCTGGCCACTCTTTATTTACTCGATGGATGTCGTCCAAATCGGGATCAACAATATTCGTAAAAGATCGCACGTGCGTGCTATATTTGAGACGAAGCCAGCACCTGCTGCAGAATGGCATGCCGTGCATTCGCGATTGCATTGTAGGACGTCAGAAACCTCTGACGCATTCGTTATTATGATTTATTCAGAATCTGCCTTTCTTATGAATAATAAGCGCCGCCAAGGATGCATCCTCTTTGTCGAATCGAAGAGGTTCGTCACGTACCGGCCGAGCACGCATCGACGCACCGTAGAACCTTTGCTCGTCGCACGAAACTTGAGGATCTTCTTTAATTCGCGTCTTTCGAGGCTAAATACCGAGAACTCCGTCGACGATCGTGTTAAATTCTGCGTTGCAATTGAGATTCCGTCGAGAAATCCATGCATCGCGTGTGTACTTAACGTTTAAATAGAATGATTCGAGGTCGCCGGTGAATCTTGGTCGGAAATTTATTCGTGTCGCCGATTTCTGCGAACGCGACGCGGTGTCGTCCTTCCAAGATTTCGCTTTCAATATCGTTTCCGTTTCGAAAAGACCAGGGCTTTCTGGCGAACGTAACGCGCCTAACGGGGCCCGGCTGCGAGATATCCTGTTCGATAAAATGCAAAAAGCTGTAGAAACGTCGCGTCAGATGGCTAATTAAAATCTTCACCGTGACGCGTTACACGCCCGTAATCTCGCATCGGGACGCGTTTCTTTCTGGCTGGCCGATCGGGGTGGAGAGAGAGAGAAAAAAAAAAAAGAGGGAGAATAAAAGATCGGGGGAAGATGAAAGAAGAAAGAAATTGGCGTCCACCTGTACGGAGCGGGGCCAGCGAAATTTATCACTGGAGGGCAGGTACATCGTATCGTAGGCAAACTGTGGGGCCCCGGTCGCCGCGGCAGACGGTTCCTAAACCAACCGACCGAAATCACAGTCGGTGTTCCGATCATTCCCGTGAAAGCTTGCGCGTGGCACCTGCGCCCACCTATCTCTGTTTATGGACCTCGATGGAGCCTCGATTTTGTCTTTATCGGTGCTTTCGGACACCTTTGCCCTTCCCCCCCCCCCTTCCAACAAAACGAATTCTTTCTCGCGATTCTGCTGTTACCGGTGCAAAGTATGCGATCGGTCGCTGAGACAATTTCTCGAACCGATCGCCATCTTGATTCTTCCGCGCGCATTCCGCTCGCGCACCTCGAACCTTCGAGGGTTTGTTCTTCGTTTCGAGCCTCCAGTCTAGTTACTTATAGCCGAAATATTTTGTAAAACAGCATTTGGTTTCGAGAAATAAAATATCTTAGAGACATTCGATCGACAAGGTTGTTAAATCGTAGCCGACGACCCCTTTGGCGACGTCCTCAAGACGCGACGTGGAAAAAGAAGCCGGCCGGTAGTCCTTGGATGGCCATATCGAAATCGACGCCGAGTTCGATCTATCGCGCGGCGGATACGTGACTCGCGAGAGCAAGGCTCTTTTTATGAATGGACGAGGCCCTCGAAGAGGACCGCGTTCGTGGAAATGATGAGAAATATACGTCGGACCGGATCGACGCCGGCGTTCCGCGGCGATAATGCATAAATAGAGAAAAGGTGAGAGCAAAGAGGACGCGCGCCACGCCAAGTGTCTAACGGCACGGCACGATCAAAGCGGCCGCCGATATTTGAGGATCGCGCCGATGTTTGCCGAACTTATTCCTTGTCAGCACTGTTAACAGACTTGCGAGTTCTCTCCCTCTCGCTCACATAGACAGCGTAAACCTTCTCCTTCCTCCCTCCCCCCTCTGTGTTCGTCCTTTCGTTCCTTTTCGATTACACCTTTTTATTTCCCTTTAACTAGCCGGGGCCCTGGCCACCTTCGTTCTTCCCTCGATTTTTCGAAACGGAATAACACTTGGTCCCTGAAACTGGTTCAAACCGCAGCAGACGATCGAAACGGAAATTGATATATCGGAATAATTTGATGGTAATTGGATAACTATTGGAATAGCTTCTTAAAAGTAATTAAAACATAATGTTAAAAAAAAAAAATAAAGTTCAAACGAGTACACAATTTAGGAGATCAGAATTACATTTACCGAATACGGTCGTAAGAAAAGTGGCTAGTCGGATATTTTAGTAAAATGGCTCTTTTTTCCGGTTTTGGGAGGGAGGTGTGAAGGGCAAGGTGTTTGCGACGTTTCTGGTTCCAGTGGAGAAAAACGTGGCGCAAATATTTCTGCGGAGGGACGCGATTACACCGCGCTATCGTTCCTCCAGACGCGCGTTGATTCGCTGCCGCGGCTTTTAATCAACCGTACCGCAATAGGCTAATCTAGGCAATTAGTTTCCTACGACGTAATCAGCCGGCAGATAAGGCGAAACGTCGGGTGGGAGTTAAAAGTCCTGTATTACATTTTAGATTACTTCCATATGCATTATCATCGCCCGAAGAGAAATATGTAGATCGCGACGCGCGCGGGAGAACGAGATTATCAGGGACCGAGAAAACGTCCAACAAGACCGCTCTCGGTTTTCATCGCGTGTTCGTTTTTTTGCAACCGTAATCAATACCATACAGCGGTCCCGATTAATTGGAAAATAAACCGCCTCGCCGGATAATGGACACGTATACGTTAATGTTGCTATTAGTTTTGAACTTTTTTTCCCCCCCCAGAGAGTTTACCGCACCGATCGGTTTCCAGCGAAAACTGGATTGCGCGCGTTCGTCTCCACTCGTAGAATCGATTATCACAATACCGTCTCTTTCCTTATTTTTACCAATTAAATTTCTAAACGAGATTAATAACGTGCCATACGATAATTGCTCCTGAAGATGTACAAGTAAATATTTGTTGGGGAGAAAAATTCGACTGTATCCTGGTCTCGAAGGACCGTAGAAATAAATACAAGATCGATCTAAAGATTAATCGAGCGTTTTGAGATATTTTTCTATTTCGAGATGAAAAAATTTGTTCCCGCGTCTAAAACGCTCGGTAATCGCGAGGATAAGGTGAAAGCGCCCCGGCGCGTGTACCGAAAAATTCTCTCTTGCGGCGTGGCCGAGGATTTTCCCGAAACTCTTTCGACCGATTCGATGGCTCGTTTCGACGAATTCTGTGGCGCGCACGGGCCCCGAAACCAAGAGGAAGACGCCTCGTTAGGACTGTTCGTTGTAATTTCTGTTTGCATTACGAGCCGAACTGTACTTTTACGCGGGAAGATACCGCGAAACAATGCAAGACACGCGTGCAAATATGGGCGCGCACCTCAAATGGGACATTCCAATGTTTCTCGGTATTGCTTCTACCAAAGATGGCCGGGCCCCAGCACCGATCGTGCCGTCAACCCGACACAATATCTCCCGTCTTCGAGAAGCCTTGCGTCACTACGCGTTTCAAACGCGTCGAAAAAAACATCTCGAGAACCAAAATACACGACCCTCGTATTTATTTTATTCCTACCTCGAGCAAGAACAGCGTAGACGTTCGAAAGAAGCGTAATTAATCTAAAAATTCTGATCTTATCTGGAACGCAATTTCATCGTCCGTTTATTTACTTTTATTTACCGATATATCATCCCCCTCGAGAGCCCTATCTATTCGATCGTCGCTCGTTTACATGTTATTAGTATGCAACAGTAATTTTCCGTCCGCGTTCGATTGAAATTGACAGCTACGAGCGCCTTTTATTTTCCGAAACGCGGCGTCGAACACCGTGAAACGCGAACGCGAGAACCGTTCCCGCATTAGAATAGATACCGATCGTTTCCCCGTACGAAAGCATCGGTAGCGTTATTAGACACCGATTCGATTTGAATAATCGTTTTTCACGTTAAGCGATCGCGAAGTCGAAAGGAAAATGGGGAATTTTAATATCCCTCGAATCGAGAGCATAAAATGGTAGGGTTGTCGGTGCTGGACACTCCCACTCGTTTTTAACAGGTTGCTCGTCGCTCTATGCAAATCCAACCGCGTCGATTAAGCGATCCCGTACATTTTTCAGACCCGAGGCAATGGTCGGAAGCAGCTGTCGCTCACTGGTTGCACTGGGCGATCGGGGAGTTTTCCCTGGAGGGTGTGGCGATGCAGCCCTGGCAACACATGACCGGGAAACAGATTTGTGCCATGGGGAAGGAATCCTTTCTGGCACGTGCTCCGGCCTTCATGGGCGATATCCTGTGGGAGCACCTCGAGATCCTGCAGAAAGGTACGTGACTTTCTCCTCTTTATTCCTCCTCGTGCCAGCTGGCCATTCCAGTTCCCTCGAACGGCTTCTTAATCGCTGCGATTCGTTAACATTTACCCTTGGAACGTTAAAAAAATACAAACAAAGGGTGTAGTTTTATTAATTTCGTCGCGTGCCAAGTTTTAGCGAGGGGCTCCAAGTGGATGTTGTTGTTAGAAATGGGTCACGTTCGACCCCCCGATAAATTCGCGTATGTTACGTTTGCAACGACTTACGAACGCGATTGTATTGTTTAATTACATGTCAGCGACGGAGGTGGGCAAATTTTATTCACGATTAACTATTTATAGGAAATTTTAATATTTGGGTGCTGAGACAACCCTCTACGAAGCTCCCGTTTCATTAATTCGATTAATAAAAATCAGTTGATGGCGAATAAAGTTTGCTCGACTCTGATTAGCGATAGAAACTATAATATCGCGCTTGAAAAGAGGATCGACGATTCGAAAAGGAAATATAGAGATAGTTGTCTGGAGGCTCCAGTGTCCAGACGGGGGATTCGCGCGAGGAAAAGCAGGTTGGACCGGAAGAGTCGTTTTCCTCGGACGTGGGACATCCCATTGCCGTGTTCGCACAAAAACAGATATCGAATTTCCGTAAAATCGCAATGTCACGGCAGGTACCGGGCGCAGAAACCGGCCGCGAACAATGACAGGAGAGAGATCACGGGGAGACGCGACGACCTCCCTCTTCGTGTTTTCAGCGTTTCGAAGCGTTGAATCGGTACTTTTTATTCGAACCAAGGAGAGAATGGCGGAATGAAAAAAAAAAGAGAACCGCGCCATAGAAACTCCCACTCCGGATATCCTGTGCCAGCAGAATGGTCCCGTGCCATTGCCTCGGCCACTTAGGTGGTTTTCGGCCCGCTCGTGCGTGTGTATCTGCCCTCGCGAGGATCCGCTCGTATTTCGATTACGAGATCCTGCTACAGATAGATCCTCGATCCTTCTCCACGGACCTTTAACGGGGAAACTAGCGTCAACGATCACCCAGCACGACGCTCTCTCCGCGAGTTGCACCGCCTTAAAAAACGTCAAATAGTAATTCTTTGGAAATTAATTCATGATGCACAATTTTATTTAAACGGACGACGAGTCGCTGGTTAAACGCTCACGAGAAACGCAATGAACGTTTCATTCATCGTTGCACATCGTCCAACCGTTTCGAACCTGGTTTTACGATGGCGATTCATGGCTAGAGCAATGGCACAACGCGCAAGAGATTAAACGCTGTTCGCGATTCCGTGTCGCAAGAAATGGACTGGCGAGAAAGCGTTCGTTGAAGGTGAGACATTAATTGCGACGACCGGCAGAGGATCTGATCGTTTCGTTCGGTTTTCTGCTAGCCGAACAGAGTACTATTTGATAGAATTTTTCTTTATACGCTGTTGTTTAACGGTTTGAAATTAAAGTCTGCGGAGAATCAGCCAATTTCTGACGTTTGTCCTTCGTCGAGCCATGCACCAAGGCGACACTAATCGATCGGTTCGCCGTCGATATGGTCTTCGAATCCCCGAGGGAAAAGCTCTTTCGTCGAGATTCTCTGTCTCGGTTATTATTCGCGAGATCGTGTTCGTATCGTATATCATTCGCCGGGAGGAAGTTACCCTCGAACTTCTACATCTTCGGTGGAGAACACAGGAAGGGCGGGAGCGAGAGAAAAGCAGAAGGAGAGAGACGGACAAGGTATGAAATGATCCGGGCAGGAAGCGGAGGTTCACCCATGATTTAACTCCCGTTAAGTAAAAGCCCGTACTTCCTTATCGATTATTTCGTGTCGTCTCATCGGCCGGAGAAACCGCGATTCAATCGACTGGCCCCGATTAGACACGTAACGAATCCAATATTTATACGAAACGAAACCCTTTTTTTTCTCTCCTCGTTGCACCGTACATCCTACTATCGCAGAAAATTATTTATCGTCTCCACAGACACGGACCATGAATAGACAGTATATTGCGCCTCGTGTCAGGGTCTCTTTCGATCACAAATTATTTCAAAGTCACGGGAAAGACCGTGCATTCGTATTCTCATGCTCAATGGACGCCATAATTTGTAATTCTCCAGAACGTTTCGATTTACTCGCGAGGGTGGTTACCCCCAGAGACGAGCGAATTTAACGGATAAAAAAATCTGCTGTTCGTTCCCTTGGACATTTCGTGTATGGCTTTGTTCGTCTGTTCAACCGCGGAACAATGGAGAGCTCGCGATCTCGGACGCGAGTCGTAACTCGGCTCGGCTGGAACCTATGGCGTGCTCGTACGCTCGTAGACGCGACATGGCGTGGGTAATCGCTTTGATTCCGCGAACGAGAACGGATATTAGGAAACTCTGCATGCGCCGTAGTAGAAACTAAAAAGCTGCATCCTCCCGCCGCGGGCGCGATTGAATCACGGAGTGAAATCCCCCCCTTGATATATTTTCTGTCGTTTCGTCGTGTCGCAACGACGAGTTTCTATTTTTCGTTTCGATATTTTTCGTACAATCTCGGTGGACCTATCGTTTACTTATTATTCCTTGAAAAGTCTCTTAGTCTCTTAAACCCAAATCCTGAACGAAAAAGGGATTTCTGTTTATCGTACGAGACATTCGAAGCTGCAATTACGACATCCTTTAATAAGATAAGAACGATTGTCACTATTGCGATCAATGGTAGACTACCATTGCAACGATCTCGCTACTTGAATTAATATGATAATAATTGGCAGTATACAGCCAGCAGACTCGACTATAAGGTGTGACTTTGCGAGTTAAACAGTTTATGATCCATCAAACGAACCCTCACCGTGCAATTAAAAATGTATTCGACTCTCTTGCGTTAGCTATATCGATGATAATTTATATTGTCGAAACAATGTCCTATGGCGAAAATAGTAAAAACCAATTCTCAAACTCGTCGAGTTTCCAAGAGCACCCAAACTTCTAGTTCGTAATGATAAATTAAAATGAAGGAAACGAGACGCGGTAGTCAAAGTGTTAGCTGTAACCGGAAGTGTGAGGAACGAATCGAGAAGAGATACCATTCGTTTCGCCCGGGCCAGCCCAGTTCGAATTAATTCTCGGGCATCGATTATTCGTTTCGCGCAAGCTCGTCGCAGAAACGCAGAAACGAACGTTGCCGATGAATCACGCCAATGGCAATCCTCTCCTTCGCAATAATGGCCGTAATAATGGAGCACACAGTCGGAGATCGTTCATGGCGATTACGTTCCGTGGTGCTCTTGCACCGCGAATAGCAAAAACGGGAGACAGACTTTACGCGTCGCGGTAACGTCACGTACCGCCGACATAATTGGCTTAATGACATGGAATTCTATAATCGCGGTAACTACGACGATGCAAACATTAATTCCATATATACCCCGCCCCCTCCCGCCACGGACTGACGTGTAAATAGCGCATTAGCGTAAACAGAGTCGAGGCGAATAAATTGACGCGTCGGTACGTCGAGCGTAAGAAAGTGGAATTGTTGGTTTCGTTGCCTTTTGTCCGCCGAAAGAAAATACAGAATTTTTTCACTAAATCTTCGTCTGACAAATATTATCCCCGAAAACACGTTATTTTGCGAAATTCGTTCCGAGTTAACGAAGAATCCACGACGTTCCCCGATTCGAAAGTCACCGTGAATCGAGGCGAAAACGCAGAGCCCCTTAAAGTCAGATCGAAAGAACTAGAAATTTAGGAAAAGATCGTGGAGCAACTCGCGACTGAGGATCTGTTCCATTTTCCCTATTCAGATGTCGACGCGGCGAAGGCCTCTCTGGAGAACGTGCCGAGCAACGTGTACGAAAGTGTATGCGTGCCAGATTTAGGCGATTTCTTGGGATACCAGGGCGCGGCCCATCAGGTGGCGACGCCGGAACACAAGAGCCCAGCGACGCCCGCGAGTTCCACCACCTCGAACTCCTCGGGCCCTCAAACCGGGACTCAACCGCCGTCCACGTTGCAACCGACCTCCGGTGCAGTTTCTCTACCCTCGAGACAGTATCATAACGATGGTAAGTGTCTCTTTTCACTATCCACGTGGCCTGGGTTCCGTTCATCCGTCCACCCAGAGCCTAGCAACTAAAGACGAACGGGTTCCATCGGCGATCGAGCGATCGTAAACACGAGAATCGTCGACAATCGTGAAGTTCGTGTTTGTGCTTATCGCGTTGCACCACGGTCCACGGAAGATATTTTTGTACCTCGAGTACCGTGGAAATGCGACAACGAACGCTGCAAATAATATTTCTGACGTTCACGGGGACGGTGTTTTAGCGAAGGAAATTTTAATCTCGAAGATCGGCCACGCTTTGGAGGGACAGAGTTATGGTAATCCGATGGACGAAACAAGGAGTAGTTTGAAACAGTTTTCGATCGTTTAGAAACATATTTTAACGAACAGCGTAACAACGGAAGTAAACTCGAGGGACGATCTAATAGCTGTCTCGGACTCGAAAAATGGACACCGAATACCGAATACCGGACACCGATCTCAGAGAGACGTTGAACTCGCAAGACGCGTCCATGAATGGAAGTTATTGGCGTTGAAGAATTAAGTTTTCCCCCGGTGCTGATCGAACAAAGTTACTTCGAGCCAACGTGGATTCCATTGAAGTTGAAAAACGTAGGCGCAACAGGAGATAAATTAGGGGAGGCTCCCGTCCGTTGACGGCTGTAAAAGTTTCCCTGACAATATAGAGTCGATTGAACGTCTCTCTACGTCGGGTGTCGACGCACAGACAAGTAGATCTCTTCTTCTGTCGCGATCTCGACGGTCCGACCAGGGTTTCCCAACCCCTCCGACTGAAATCTGCAATTTATTCAGGCAAATATACTCCCGGAAACGAGGCAAATACCATTCAACAAGTCCACAGCTCCTGTTCGATCTAGAAAAATTAACAGGGCAGAAACAACTAGGATTTGTGGAATCATGGACGCCTTGTGCGGAAATCCTGTGGTCCTGTTCGTTGACCATACTCGTCGAACGCATATGGGCGTTCACCGCACGCTGGTCAGCGATCGGTCGAGGATGTTGGTTTATTATATTTAGCTGGTATTCGATAACATCTTTACATATAGTTACTTAAAATTTCACTAGTCGCGAAACTCGTGATAAGTTTGAAGCGTCGGTCACCAGTGACCCCCAAGACAGTCAAGTTCCCAGAACGCTTTTGCTTTAATTAACCACTGACAACGAATCTTAAAACGATCAATTCAAAATGCATGTAAATTTTTATGAAAAACATCTTTTGGACATGGTTTTCGAGCTCCCTCTTCGTCGGCTATGGTTACGAAGGGGATTCGTCGAGAGTCCAGGTTGGGAAACGCTGACCAGAGGAGCCGCGGAGGAGGAGCGAAACCGCGAAAGAGCGCGACAAGCTGGTTTATTTATTTCCCCCGATTGCAGCCGCGAACGAAAGCGGTTGCGACTCGGCAGAGGAGTTTCTCATTGTTACGTCAGGGGTGGCTGATAGCATCTCTCGGCTCGGCGCGTTTGCACGCGTTGCCACAGGTCTCTCATTATCGTCACTGGTTCGCCTCTCATTTAACGTTTCGTCGTCGTCGTCGTCGTCGTCGTCGTCCAAGTCCCCCCGGGGCGGCATCGAAACGACAATCCGCGATTTCACTGAGCGCGGTGCTCGTCCGTCTTAGAAATCGACTCCGTTAACTAACCGGGCCCGCGTCCTCCGCGGGGAGGGTGGATTGCAATATCTCGGCCAGCTCGGCCGCGTGATTCACCTTATTCACCTTATTCTCCGCTGTTTTCATCGCTGAACTCTGACGCAACTCATTCAGCCGAAGGACTCCGGCTGTTCCACCAACGAACAATGGAAAACGGGGGCCAGGAGTGCCTCGCTGGGAGTGGATCATCCCATTCATCCGGTCGAGCAATTTGTTGTCCTGGATTTTTTCTCGTTTCCCGGCTACCGATGCTTATCACCCGCGGTGTTAACACCGCCTGTGAGAGACTGTCGCTCGCAACCACCGCTCCGGGCCCAGATATCATCTCCAGTCCAACTCCAACGGACCGCTTACAATTGGTTTCTAACCTTTCGGGCCCCAGAAAAGTCTCCGTAATTCAATAAATCGGTATTTAAGGGTTAACTTCCTAGTAAAATTAACCCCGATTCGCCTCGATTGGGCCCTATACGTCGAGACTTTAACGAACTCCAGCGAATTCAGTATCCACCAAGAGGGAGACTAATTCGGTAAATCGGTATTTCAGGGTTCACAAAATGTTACTGCACCCTTTAGAGTGCGACCAACGAATCGCTTCCTAGTAAGATTGACACCAATTCTACTCGATTGGGCCCCACGTTGAGACTTTGACGGATTCCAAGCGTCCGCGACGCGATTCCATCGAGTCGCCATCGTAGTATCCAGCAAGAGGGAGAGTAGGCTTGTTCAGCACACACGCGAGCGGTCGCCGAGCGGATCGGAGCCGGCTCGAATAGAACGGAACGGAGGAGAACATTATGAGGCGAGCGTTCATAGCGTAGGTAACAATTACCTCTAGTCGGGGGCCTTACGTCATTGCAGCAGTGACCGTGGATGAACGAGGGAAAGTCGGGCCCTCTGCACGCTTCGCCGCGGACAATGGAGACGACGCCGGGCTCCGCTGCCTCTCGCGGCATCCTTGCGTTTAGGCCGATAAAAATATGTACGCGGTCCCCTGATCGATCGCGTCAAACTCATTTCCAAAATCTTTGTACGGTTCTATAGGTTCCAATTATCTTGTAATATAACACGAGGGGTAGCTCTTCCTTAAGCAATTTATTTCGAATAAAGGATACTCTTTTAGTTTGATCTAAATTCTGGACCCAGTATTCCGAAATCACTCGCGACGGGTTCATCGTTTTGTGGATCGTCAGGAGTCATGGTCGGGGTTCGATCGTTCGCCTAAAATCGTCAGAGAGAATTTTTGCGTAAGACTTGGCGAACTGTATCATGATTCGACTGTGGAACGTGTCGTTGCAAGACGACCAACACAGACGACCGTATAATAGACTCATTATTTCTGCTTGCCGGAGCACTGTTACGTTATGTATCGCGGCTCTTCGAGGTCTCTGGTTCGACTCTCGCTTATCCTCGCTTTCGACCTCCTCCTCTTGGAACCGATGCGTTACGTTACTCCTGCGCATACACGTGCACGTCACTCTCAAACTTTTCCAACCCATAGATCGCGATGGCTCGTCCAACGGAGCCTCTCCGCGGCCACTACCACCGACCCAATTCTCACACCGACTTTTTTCACAACCGTGCGCTCTAACAACCTCTCCGGCACCGCCAGAACAAGGCCCAGGCGTGTTAAACAACAACAATAATTAGAATTTATTTGTTCGACCTAACCCTCGACCCCTTTGCAGTCTAAGACTCTATTAAACGTCTTACACGATCACCTCAGAGCTAAATGCAAAGGGTAGTACGCACAAAAATGTCTAGAACACAGAATTTCCTTTTGGTTCGACCATCGAATCTCCATCATTCGATCATGATTAACACGAGTCGTCGAGCAGCCTTCGAGGATCCCTTGGAAGCCAAAAAAGCAACATTCTCGACTTCCGCGAGTCGGCTGCCGAGGTCTTTTGAAACCGAGACGTTGTCTGAATGCTCAAACAAAGGATCGAAGGCCCGCCAAACTGTTTGCTCAGTTTGGACTAGGGCTGACCAGAGACTTCTTACAATGTTTCTACCACAGTAGAGGTACGATTATTCGGCAAAGATAAAAAATTTTAAATCATTGTGAAAAAATTATTTTTAGTTACAGGGGTCAATTACAATCAGTTTCGGTGAATAGACATACCCTCGAAATCTTAACCAGTTTCGAGAAAAAAATTCGAGTAGGTGTGAAATTTTTCGACAAAATTAAAAATTTTCAAATCGTTATAAAAAAATTATTTATAGTTGCAAGGGTCTATTACGATCATTTTTGGTCATTAGACATACCTCCGAATTCTTACACACTTTTGAGTAAAAAATTCATTACCATGTATGGCCAGAAATGTCATGCTTATGTTTGAAACGTCATAACTCCTGAACAGATTGGAGGATTTCAATGTTTTAACATGCAAACGTCGCGTATTTTAGTCAAGAATACGTAGAAATTCTAATATCCAAAAAGCTGTTCCTTAACCCCATGAATTAAAAAAAAAACCATAAAAGTGGTCCAATTCCTCATTTTTATCACTTCACATGTCGGATATTCGTAATTTTACTATAATAACGAAATATTAAAAATGTTTAAAGGGGTTGAAGGTGGATGATTTTGGATAAGAGTTTAGGTATTGATGTCGGTTCTAATTTCGAGGATATCCGATAGGAAAACGAAGATTCGCTCGTCGGTTCGTGTCACGTATGTCGCCTCGTCGACGACGCGCGTGCACCACGGACGGGCACGGGTCGTTCGCGCACGCGCGTTTGCATAAATTAGAGGAGCAAAACAGGCGACAGGGGAGAGTGTTCGAATCCCGCCGTGCGCAAAAGCGAGTTCCTACGGTTTACCGACACCCGGCCAAAAAAGGATCGGCCATCGTGTGACGCCATTCGCTATTCTTTTATGGAAAGGTTAGTCAATCGTGCCGACGAGCACAATGATTATTTGTTAAGCAACCACCGCGCGATAACTAACCGTGGCTGGCCACGCGGCATTTTGATTCGTTGGCCTCAGAGAGCGCGTTTTTGGCGACCAACGAGTTCTCCGGCGCGCTCAGAATCCTTATGAAACTCTATTCTGTTCAATAGCCGCACGTGCGCCTCGTGGATACCGGGGGAAATCGTTTAGAATCGTCCTTTCCAGAGGTGGAGCCGGATTCGATCATTATTCTGGGTATTGGATGTTCTTAAACGTCGGGAAAAGGAGTTTGGATCGACGCGTCCGTGAAAAAGAGGGACGAAAGGCTCGAGTGCTGATGGCGAAGGGTAGGAAATGGGGAGGGAATCGAGGTCGAGGACCGATCGTTGTTTTTGGGAGCCCGACCGTCGCTGTGTTTCTCCGATCGCCTATCACTTTTCG